CCGAAAAAAAAAAAAAAAAAAAAAAAAAAAAAAAAAAGAAAGAAAGAAAGAAAAGAAAAGCTACAGTCAGGGGCCATAGAGATGGCTTAGCAGTTAAGAGCACTGAGTTCAATTCCTGGCAACCACATGGTGGCTCACAACCACCTTGGATGAGATCTGGTGCCCTCTGTTGGCATGCAGGCAGAAGACTGTGTACATAATAAATAAATAAAATCTTAAAAAAAAAAAAAAAAGCTACAGTCACAGAGCATCAGAGCCCAGTCTGAACTACATGAGACTCTGTAGCAAAAACCAGTAATTGATGATGATGGTGATTAGACTTACCAACATTCTGGAGTATTTACTTACTGTACGTACCTGGTTGTTGGGTTTGGTGGATAAACATTTTCCAAGGTACAGGGTCTCTGTGACACAGAGGCTGCTGCAGGCAGGCCCATCAATGACTCCAGTCTTGTATTTGTCACACTGAAAACCAGGACATAAAAAAGCAGTAACTGAGCTGGGCACGCCTTTAGTCCCTCCACTCGGGAGGCAGAGCCAGGCAGATCTCTGTGAGTTCGAGGCCAGCCTGGTCAACAAAGCTACACAGAGAACCCCTGTCTTGAAGAACCAAGAAAAAAAAATTAGTAATATCTGAGCAATCGATAGTTACAGTCTTTAAGAGAAAGTTCTCAAGCTGGATGGTAATGTTGCATGACTTTAATACCAGCACTGAGGAGGCAAAGGCAGGGGAGTCTTTGAGTTCAAGGCCAGCCTGGTCTATAGAGTGAGCTCCAGGCCAGCTAAGGCTACCCAGAGAAACCCTGTCTCAAAAAGGAAAGAGAGAGAGACAGAGAGACAGAGAGACAGAGACAGAGAGAGAGAGAGAGAGAGAGAGAGAGAGAGAGAGAGAGAGAGAGAGTTTTCTGATGAAAGGAACTCAGGTTTTGGATTTACACCCACCTGACAGATTTTAACCTAAGCGCTGTTATTTGCCACCTCTGTGAGAAGCTTGCTCCTGGAGCATACATAGAATTTTGGAAGTATTTTTCCCACTCAATGTGGTCTGAAGCTGTTGGTTTCTACTCCATCCAAGAAGAGAAGTAGTATATTTTTAAAAACAGTTCTGATTTTTAACTAAATTTAAAAGTTTAAAATAACAAAATAACACTACCTTGATAATTTTGTCATCCATGGTTATATAAAAACAAGAAAGAAAATGAGAGAAAGAAGGAAGCATCTATCTACCCTTGAGAAAATTACACTCAAAGCTTGGCTTGGTGCTATGTGCCAATATCCCAGCACTCATGGGACAAAAGCAAGAGGACCTTGAGTCTGAGGTCAGCTTGGGCTAAAGTAAGGCCTTGTCTCAAAGCAAACAAAAATATATCAATGTAATCCTACCCGTGACAAATGAAGATGATCTACTAAAGTCAAAGATTATGTCAGAGCCCAGAAGCAGCTCTAATGTTCAGCTACCGCTCCAGCACCATGCCTTTTGTTTTTGTTTTTGTTTTTTTGAGACAGGGTTTCCCTGTGGCTTTGGAGGCTGTCCTGGAACTAGCTCTTGTAGACCAGGCTGGTCTCGAACTCACAGAGATCCGCCTGCCTCTGCCTCCCAAGTGCACACCTTTTATCCCAGTACTCATGCCTGCCTCCTCCTCCTCCTGATTTTATTTATTATGTATACAGTCTTCTGCCTGCATGTCAGCAGAGGGCACCAGATCTCATTCAAGGTGGTCGTGAGCCACCATGTGGTTGCTGGGAATTGAACTCAGGACCTCTGGAAGAACAGTCAATGCTCTGACCCGCTGAGCCATCTCTCCAGTCCTCCTGCCTGCCTTCTTTATGTCATGATTCTGATATAAGTCATGCACTCACCCTCTGAAACCATAAATCCCAATAATTCTTCTATAAATTGCCTTGGTCATGTGATAAGAATGTCTTGTCACAGCAGTAAAAAGGTAACTAAAAAAAAAAAATACCCTAAGAAGTTAATGAAAAAAATCAAGATACACACACAACTGAACGGATACTGAAGTGTTTGTCTAACATCTACGAGGGTTCATTCCCAACGCTGCACACCCAACAACAATCAAATCAACAACCAAAACTCTTTTGCTCCACAGAAAACAGGTCTAGGAGATCCTCTGTCCACTGCCCCAAGGTTTTGTTTGCAGGTGTGGAAAAAGGAGCCTGGGTCCAGTCAGCCGCCAGACCCTGTGTTTTTAACCAGTAAGGTAAAGAGTTAGGTTGATAAGCTGGATTGCAACTAGCAGGGCAGGTTAAAGGTTGACTCAGAGGCTCCTCCTAGAGTCCCTGTGTAAAGTTGCCTCCCTTCCTCGACACAAACTACCTGAGACAGAGCCACAACTCTCATGTTGTCTTTTCAGGGCTTTATCAACCCCCAACTCACCATCAATTACAGACAGAAGTTCCTGTCAAGCCCAGGGCTGAGGGCACAAATGCTACACTTTCACTTAGGCAAAGCATATTTTATCATAAAGAACTTCTGGGGCAGGACTGACAGCTGCCTCTTTCAGCTGTCCTGACCTTCAATTCTCTAATGCCAAGATCACTCTGTTTAAAAAAAAAAAAAAACAAAAAAAAAACAGCCCTTTCTGCACACTCCTCTTTCCAAATGAGTAACTGACACATGCTCCTGGGCTTATATCCTTCCTCCCCCTTTACCTGTATCCCCAAATCTAACATGGTTTGCAGCCTGGCTATCTTGTCTACTGGAGCATAAGATGTCTTGAAGTCACAGGCCATATTGGGCATCTCTGAAGTACCCCTGTCCTTGTAGTACACTGCACGGTACTGAAAGTGCTCAGCAAATGTTTATTTAGTTTCCAACATAAAGAACACAGTGATTGGCCGGGCGGTGGTGGCACATGCCTTTAATCCTGGTACTCGGGAGGCAGAGGCAGGTGGATCTCTGTGAGTTCGAGGCCATCCTGGTCTACAGAGCAAGTGCCAGGACAGCCTCCAAAGTTACAGAGAAAGCCTGTCTCGAAAAACAAACAAAATACAGTGATTTCGATTTTAAAATTCCACTGGGAGTCAAAGGCAGGCACCCCTGTTCACTGAGGAGTTCAAGCTGAGTACGGACACTATAGGTATATTCCCTTTGAAAAAATTACTAAGAAAAATGTATTACTTTACCATAATATCTAAGTTCCTTTTTGTTTTCTTAGTACACAGTCTCTTATTGGTGAGTCACTAAGCAGCTGGAATTCAGCTGTAAGAATCAGATTTCTTGTGGTGAGCAAAGGTCTCAAGCCAATCCTGCATCAAAGGGGCAGTCAAAATTAACAGGCTTTATAGCTTGTCGTTTCCAATCGCAAGTCAAATGTCCCACACATATGTGTGAAAAAAAGCAGTTGGCTTCCTAACACTACAACCACTCTAATATCTACAAAGTGCCCAGCTGTGCATCAAAGTAACCAAGAGTTATTCAATAATTTTTAAGTAATTAAAAGTCCCTATGACTTATTGCTATCTTAATAAACAGCACATTTCGCTTTTGCTTGCATATACCTCATAGTACCAGAAGAGGGCACTACTTACCTTTCTTTTTACAAAACCTACTTGAGGGAATCTTCCCCTTAACTGCAGACTGGACCACAAGGGGGCAATAATAACAAACATATCTATATTTCTTTTTTTGGGGGGGGGAGGGGGGCTTTCGAGATAGGGTTTCTCTGTGGCTTTGGAGGCTGTCCTGGAACTTGCTCTGGAGACCAGGCTGGGTTCAAACTCAGAGAAATCTGCCTGCCGCTGCCTCCCCAGTGCTGGGATTAAAGGCATGCGCCACCAACGCCCGGCAGTACTAGGCTTTTAAATATTTTCAAAAATCCACATTCCAAAAATGTACTTCAGATGCCACTTTCAGATTGCTGTTTCTCCTTAACAAGACTAAAAAACCAAGCACACATAGAGACACATACACACAGAGTTAGGCAGACACACAGACATACAAGACACAGACATGCACACACATACACATAGACACACACAGGCATACACAAAGATACACAAATACAGACGCATAGATACCCACACACGAAGAGACAGATACAAGGCACATAGACAGACAGACACACACAGGCACACACACAGAGAAATACAGAGACAGACAGGCAGACAGACACACACACACATACATACATACACATAGACACACACACATCTGTATGAGGGTGTCAGATCCCCTGGAACTGGAGTTACAGACAGGTGTGAGCTGCCATGTGGGTGCTGGGAATTGAACCCAGGTCCTTTGGAAGAGCAGCCAGGGCTCTTAACTGCTGAGCCATCTCTCCAGCCCCCACAATTACGGTTTTAAGTAACAAACCATTATCTTTGGGAATGGAGTCTCAAAAGAGTCTGATTAAATTTGGAGTCCTTGGAATCACTTGATGCTTCTGTTTCAAAAGTGTGTTCTTTTAATACTCACATAGGCCCACTGATGTGTGCCAGGGCATGCCTCAACAACTACAGGCAGGACGGTGAGCTCCAGTCAGAAGCCTTAGGATGGAACTTTGTGGTCCTGAGAAATGCACAGAAGAGAACTGCTCCAGCTAAGGAAACAGGGAATGTCTAAGAAATTCCACCTACAGAGTCCAATCATACAAGATTTCTGTATGGTTGGGCACCAAACAGGATTGACTGAAATAATTTAGTAGTTAGGGAGCTATAATTACGTATTAGTGGAGAGGGAGCCTCCTTCCGACCAGGGTTTAGTGGTCATTGGCTCTCAGTTTTTAGAAGTGGCTTCTCATATCCCTTACAAGCTCCAGAGGCTGACTTTGGCTTTCCTAGCTACCCTACTCTGTTCCAATTCTTTTTTCCAGTTTTAAGAGCCTATTATCAAGCAGACATAGTGGCTCACAGCTAGAATCCCAACACTTTGGAGGCTGAGGCAGCAGGGTCAGGACTAGCCTTGGTTACATAGTTCTAAGCCAGTCTGGGCTACAGAGAGATCCTGTTCTTCCTCCAGCCCCCTTCACCTCCTCTCCCCGCCACACTCCCTCCAAAAAATAGGAAAACCTTCATTTACAGGTAACCAAAGTCCTCGCCGAGTGCAAGGTTTGGTGGCTTTACATGGTTCTAGTTACTCTCCGGACAGTGTTCATCAGTAGTGCCGTCAGGGATGAAATGCTGGCTGAGTCTGACTCACAGTCTGGGGAGACACACTTTCCTTGCTGTGACTCCAGACCCTTCCTATTCTATAAGACTCTGGGAAGTTGTTTTCAGACCGTTGTTACTATGCAGTCCTGGCTGGCTGGGTATTCACTGTATAGACCAGTCTGGCCCTGAGTCTACAGAGACCCACTTTCTCCCAAGAGGATCTGTGTTTTCCATAAGCTTCTCTCTACTATTCTACCCACAGTGGTCTCTCTGTCAGCAAAGCCTTCTTTCTTTAGATGTTTAATAGTACAACTATTTGTAGCACAAACTAAGTCATCTTAGCATTGATGTGATGG